CTCATGACGATGTCAGTCGCAGCACCTTCGTACTCGACATCAGTCATCAGCTGCATCGATGGAGAGGCGTCACTCCCAAAGCCAAATGTGTCGTCTACAGTCACTCGCTTGTTGCAAGTGAATGTAGCTCCCTCGTTGTGGACGAGGAGCACCATGTCGAGGTGATTCTTTAGGTGGTTCTCGGCGCGTATGGGAGGGCGCCCCCCCACCCTCTTGGAGTAGTTTAGCATCAGAGGGTGATCTTCGACAACCAAGCCCACGCATGCGTCTCGCACCGCCTCTGTATGTGAAAGGCAAGGGAGATGCCAAGAGGTCAGCATGGTTGGTTTATCTTCGGCAAGACGCCACGACCGGAGCTGGCCGAGTTTCATGGTCGCATAGAATTGATGGAACATCAAGCACACTAAATTACACGTGGCACGGGAACACCGCTTGATTGATCATCAACAACAGCAGGAGAAATCTCGAGGAAAGCAAAACTACGAAAAGAATAAGAATGGCCCGACCTTTTCACGTTGCGTGAATTCCGATGTTCTCGGCCGACAATGATCGCAGAAGGCCATCATACAACGTCTTTCTGCTCTGACAAAAACGTGGAATCACCTTGGAGGCGATGGAAGTGCGCGCTCCATGGGTGAGGCACCACGAGTGCGATGGTGCCGTCGGGGTGCATCCTTCCACGCACGTTGTCGATAACCCTGCGAAGGTGGGTGTTGGTCGCCTCGGAGGTCTTCAGGAGCCTTTGCTCCGCGCCGATGGACACGATGACGAGCTTCGGAGCATTGCGAAAGGAGAGCTTGTCGACGTCGGATCCCGTGGGGTCGAGAGGGACAGTGTCGTGTAGCGTGGCGTTCTCGTCTCTGGTCGGAAGTCATCACAAGTGACAAGAGCGCAGAAAAGACGACGAAAGGGCCATAACATCATGGGAAACGTCAGGGCTTGAGATTCCATTGTGTTCAGGCGCCACAGGTATTCATTAAGAAGCAGCCGCTTAGACTACAACATGCACGTGGACAAATGCCATGACACAGATGTAGTACATCGCTCATTCCAGCCTCCTGAAAATAATCCGGGTTGATTTTGGGAAAACCGACCAAAACACTTACCTGCACTTGTCCATGAGCACCGCTTCGTTGCCTGAGGGTCCACCCAAAAGACTTGGCCGGACACGTCCCCTGGAGGCCTCCTTGCCCTTGCCCTTGCCCTTGACCTTGCCCTTCCCCTTCCCCTTTTCCTTCCCCTTGCCTACATCCCTTGCCTTGTCCTCGGCCTCCCCAGCTCCTTCGTTGCCGTCGAGCGATCTCGGGCATTTGATGCAGCGTCGCTCCTTGGCAATCTCTTCGGTGACAAAGGTCGCGTTGGCACACGCACCCATGTGTGTGATGGAACACTCTGTACATATATACCTGCGTGGCATCTCATGGAACAAAAGCGTCAGACAAGCAGAAGAAGGTTGCTTGTACAACGTTCCATACACAAAGCACACTTGTGTACAAAATAACCGGGCAGTACTTTCGAAGAGGAGGCTGGCGACG